AGAGAGAGAGAGAGAGAGAGATTTACCTCTAAAGGGAAAAAAAATTATTATGATTATTATTAAACTATAACAATTGTTTTTCAAAAACCCTGAAAATATTAAAAGCAATCTAAAATATTACCAAAAACAGTGCAACAGTACAGGGAAAAATGCTAAAATAGTAAGAACAATTATAAAACTGTGTAAGGTGAATCATTTTCCCATTTTGATAACAAACATGACAGTTGCAGTAGCATCACTGTTTTTTGCTTAATTTAATGGAGTTTTGCCAATCACCTCAAAATGTCTTTCTGGTCAAACAGGTAGTCAGATAATGCGTTTAAAAAAAGTAGAAGTAAAATATTTGTTGATGGTGATGTTTACTTAGCAAACAGCATAATGAATGATAAACAGAGAAGCTTTCACTTTAATGACAGCTGACAGTTTAAAGTCCAAGAACAATATTACAGCGGCTACTTTAAGTCAGATTTATTAGCCCCCGCAGAATATTTCTTTCGCCAATTTGAGTTTTACTAAAAGAAGATATTTTTCTTCATGCTAGTATTTAGCTTAAAGTGACATTTAAAGGCTTAACTAGGTTAATTAGGCTAAAGTTAGGGTAATTAGTGGTATCGGCCATAGTATGTGTGTGTGAATGTGAGAGTGTATGAGTGTTTCCCAGTACTGGGTTGCAGCTGGAAGGGCATCCGCAGTGTGAACCATATGCTGGATAATTTGGCGATTCATTCCGCTGATGAATAAAGGGACTAAGCTGAAGGAAAATAAACAAATGAATGATTACTTCTATTTTAATTTGGCTTAATTTCAATTTATTCTCATTTTATTTTCATAGTTTCATTTTATTTCAGCTGCAAAAAATATGATATAATTGCTTATGATACAAATTATGGACTTTAAAAAGATTAAAATAATGGAAATAAATTTCCTAGAGATGGGTTGCGGCTGGAAGGGCATCTGCTGCGTAAAAACTTGCTGGATAAGTTGGCGGTTCATTCCGCTGTGGCGACGCCGGATTAATAAAGGGACTAAGACGACAAGAAAATGAATGAATGAATGAATGAATGAACAATGGAAATAAAATAAAGACAAAAACTAAATAAACTAAAAAAGGAATTGAAATTTTGAAATCTGCTGTGCCAAATATATATTGCTTAAGGGGGCTAATAATTTTGACCTTAAAATAGTTTTTAAAAAAAATTAAAAACTGCTTTTATTCTAGCCAAAATAAAACAAATAAGACTTTCTCCGGAGGAAAAATATTATAGGAAATACTGTGAAAAATGTCTTGCTCTATTAAACATCATTTAGGAAATATTTGAAAAAGAAAAAAAACTTTGCTTATGTGTGTGTGCGTATTTACCTGCCCAAAGGTGGAATAGAGAAACACAGGTATCTCAGCCACAGTCATGGCCAAGGCCTGCATGATGGACACGCCCTCTGCACTTCTGAATGACATGTCAGCTCCGCCCCTCCGTCACATCCGAGACGCTGCAGACAGCTCTGAGCAGCAGAATCAGGATCTCAGCAGACAAACGTTCATCCAGAAACTCCAGCAGAGCTCATCTTCATCGCCTTGGAGAGCAGAACACATTTCACACTGTTTTAATGGTTTGGGTTACATGCTTTTCCTAAATAAACACACACCGAGACACACTGTTTATACAAAACATGGCGCAATGATGATGACAAAAATTTCAGACGGTATTTACATAAAACAATACAATTTTATTTGATGTATGATTAGGTGTCTCTGTGTAAGTTCTGTTAAATGAAGCATGAGTGATAACACTGAAAGACTTCTATAAAAAAGAAAGTATATTTAGCACATTTAAAATCTTATTTTTCATATTTATTATATGAAACATTAATACCTATACGTTTTATTATTAATTGTATGTGTACTATTAAATATATATATATATATATATATATATATATGTCGCCTCACAGCAAGAAGGTCGCTGGTTCGAACCTCGGCTCAGTCAGTGTTTCTGTGTGGAGTTTGTATGTTCTCCCTGCCTTCGCGTGGGTTTCCTCCGGGTACTCCGGTTTCCCCCACAGTTCAAAGACATGCGTTACCGGTGAATTGGGTAGGCTAAATTGTCCGTAGTGTATGAGTGTGTGTGAATGTCTGTGTGGATGTTTCCCAGAGAACTTGCTGAATAAGTTGGTGGTTCATTCCGCTGTGGCGACCCCGGATTAATAAAGGGACTATATATATATATATATATATATATATATATATATATATATATATATATATATATATATATATATATATATATAT